GATTTTCAAATTTCATTTCTTAAAGCTTCATCTTTAATTGTCATAGAGTTCACTTTCTGCGCTTTAATTATTTGTAAGAGTGATTTAATCTGCAAAAAAAAAGAAAAAAGAATAATTTTATATAAATCATCTCAGACAGTTAACTGCTAATCATTCTCCAGCACCACATAAATTTTGGAATTTGCAAATCTTTGATACACAATTGTATAAAAGTATAATCATGAACGTGTAACTCAAATTGKTAAAGTTTTACGATTATKGAGATTTATCTTGTAATAAATGATCTCGAAACAAAAATAAAARTGATTAACAGGAAATATAAAGATATACTTTTCGTTTAAGACGCTTAATTTGCTTTCTTTTGAGACTGTCCTGATATTTCAAACTATCATAGCGATCTTTGATATCAGGCTTGATTCTRTAAGATTGATTCAGTAATTTGTRTCGCAATTTTCGGCAAGCAACACATCGGAAACCATTCATATGTTTCTTGTWTTTTTCGTTAGGCTGTGACACACCAGTGCACGATGATGAACATCTATGATAGATAAAGTAATAAAATTATCTAATCTTGATTTGAAAACAATAAAATAWATATAATTAGTAATAAAAGCTCARAGATYTAAAATGTTATAAAAGATTTACAATTGTTTTTACTAGGAATTTATAACCGTAGTGCGCGATATATTCAAAAAGATTTGTTGTCATAAATAATGATTTACATAAAAATTATTACTTCTTGCATTGACATACAGTAATTACCTTTCTTTATCAAATCCAGTCCCATCACATAACTCACAATCTTCTAAATCTTTTAGAAATTTCCAAAARTCTGATATGTCAGAAAAATCAGAGTTGAATTCAACCAACTCTTGCGTTTTAAGGTTTAACAACTAATCAAGAAGAAATATAATTAGATTATATTATAGAAACTATAGAAATATAATTAATTAAAATTAGCTATAATAATTATATATTATATATTAATTATATTAAAGAAATATTAGGTCAAGTCATAAATAACTTCCCTTTTTATGAAACAAAGAATAGCGTTTCTGCTACTAATAAGTGCACGACACTTTTCATRGTGTTTCTTTTTGCACTCTTTGTATTTGTTGAACGTATCTATTGAATTTTGCTCCAATATTACCTTTAAAAGATTCGTCAAAGTTGGAAAGAAAATCGGAAGTTACTTATGACTCGACTTAATATTTAATTAAATAGAATTATAATTATAGTATTAGAAATAATAATTAMAATTGAAATTCCTTACCGAGATATTGGAGTTGTCATTAATTGTAACACGAAATTTCAAATTCATATTTACTTTATCCAAATAGCATAATACTAGACTGTGAGGATTGACCAAATCAGTTGTCCAGCACCAATTTTTTGGTAAAGCTTTGATTTTTAGCACATTAATAATTGTTGACGTAGATAACTTCTTAACATCAATCTTTGAACCAGGCAAYTCGTGTGACTGTGAATAAATAATATAATTACAATATTATTGTAGTTTTCAACTGGTAAATTATAACGATAGGACGTTACAATAAAATTTTRCAGAATATTTTKTACCTGTTCTTCATTCTCATAATTATTAATTTCTTCAGAACTTAGTGAAGCAACTGGACTTTTTGGACGGTCACAATTTTTAACAGAATTATTAA